ACGAAACTTTAGCGACACAAGTCCTTACTTAATAAAACTGGTTTATTCTTTCTGAATATAACTTTACGATACACTTAATTTCAACAATCACGCTAAAACAAGCGCTATAACAACGAACGTGCTCAACTTCAACAATACACTCTGACTGCAGATCAATTACTCACTGTCTACACACATATTGTCACGTCACGCCGTGACCATCTTATATTTACTAGACCACGACAGTTCCCGAAGGTTCGAGAGAAGGAGTGGTGTGATATTTTCACGTGACCTCGCTGACGCAACAATACTCTTGATGCTCTAAGTGGAGCCAGATGGTTTTCAACTCTAGACTTAAAGTCGGGTTTTCATCAAGTGGAAATGTCTGAAACAGATAAATATAAGACTGCATTTAGTTATGGCCAAGGTGTCTGGCAATACCGTTTGATGCCTTTCGGGCTTAGCAATGCAAACCTCAAACTTCATCCCAAGAAACGCCATTTGTTCCAGAAAGAGGTGATTTACTTAGGTCACATTATAAGTGAGCATGGTGTGCAAACTGATCCTGACAAGGTGAAAGCAGTGCGTGATTGGCCAACACCAGACAATGTGGGAGATTTAAGATGTTTCTTGGGACTCTGTACTTATTACCGGAAGTTTGTGAATAACTTTGCAACTGTAGCTGTTCCACGACATGATTTGACTTAAAAAGGCCAGAAATTTGAATGGACAGTTTCTTGCCAGTATGCTTTCAAGACATTGAAAGAAAAATTGGCCTCAGCTCCACTTTTAAAGCTTCCAGATCCCTCACTGCCGCACATACTGCATTGTGATGCTAGTAATGTCGGAATTGAAGGAGTTTTGTCTCAGAAAGTGGGCGAAAACAAACATGTGGTGGCCTACTTCAATAGGGTCCTGAGTAGACCAGAGAGGAACTATTGTGTAACACGGAGGGAACTCCTTGCTATAGTAAAGAGTCGGACATATTTCCATCCTTACCTCTACGGGGCTAGGTTTACCATTAGGACAGCCCATGCTGCATTACGCTGGTTAAGATCATAAAAGAACCCAGAGGGACAACTGGCACGTTGTATCGGAAAGATAGACCAGTATAATTATGATATTGACTACAGAGAAGGAAAATCTCATGGAAATGCCGATAGACTGAGCCGAAGACCCTGCAAAAATGACTGCAGACATTGTCTGCAAAAGAAGAGGTTAGAACTAACCGAGGTGCCATCAAGCTGAAGTCAAAGTGACTGGAAGGAGTTG